GCGCTATCATGAAACGGGGCAATTCAGAATATGACTTCTCCCAACCGCCAAATATATCTGCTATGGCCTTTTGCTTCCCCATCCATGTTCTCCGGTATGATACCGTATACCCATATTTTTCTTCAACATCTCAATGATAGTATGCACTTTAAGAGAAGGATCAGTGCGAACAATGTCTATCACATCTTTAGAGATGAAATCTGAAGTCAAAGCCACGTGATCGGTAGTGTCGGTGTTGCCAACGCACGTAGCAGAATGAGGTCCAGGATAACGCACAATTGTGAAGGTGTCAAGGTTGCCTTTGTTCTTTGTGGCACGTATTCTCCAGGGGCAATCACATTCTTTCTTTCTTTTGCATTGTGCCACCCACTTATGTTTATCGGACTCTATCACCCGAAAAAATTGGTTCCGTTTGATAGAATACAAGCTCACCATATTGATGACTTGTTCTTTGTTGTCAAACTGTTGACCGACCTCAAACTCACCATCGGGGGTAAACCTTTTCTCACCTGATCCACTCATCCACGCATCAGTAAAGCCTTCAGGGAGATCATACATTCTAGTAAAGTGGCTAGACGGGGCAGTTTTCGTGACAGTATCACCATCATCTTCATCAGATTCTGTCATGTCATCACCATTGATGTTCTCATCAGCATCATCATCACTTCCCTGCCCATCAACAAATGATGCACCGTTTTGCAAATACCTACCATCTTCCTGTATAACCATGTCCAGTACAGGAGCCTTTGAGGAGTTCCCTGCATTCCCCCCTGCATTGAGATCATGCGTAGATACGACATCATTTGATGTTGATTGAGTACCATAAGCGTCACATGATTCCTCAATGTATATCTCAAGCGTCGACATATCCTCCATCTGAGTTATGCCCCACATACTTGTTATAGCTAGCCTCATCAATGAGGGGCATAAGCATGAACTTTCCCCCGTTCATGGGAAATTTCATTTTCAACCGCAAAGAACGGCTAGGATGAATCATTGTGGCTGCATGTATTTTTTGAAGGATCTCCAGCATGCATGCGCCACGAGAAACCATGACAAAGCTGGTTCTACCACCTTCATGGCATATTTGCCCAGCATCCTCATAATAGTTCCCTCCCCAATGACATATGATTGGGAAGCTTGAGAAATCCATATTCTAATAACAATTCGTTGTCCAACATTCATGAGTAGGCATCAATATACACACTTTATACACATTCAAATTTTCAATAGAAATAACTACCAAAATTGAAACATATCCAAAAGTCAAAATTCACAAACAATTCACATTTCAATATGAAACTACCAAAATTTTGATATCTACATTCACATCTACCTTTCAATACCCAAATTTAGCAACATTCAAGTCTACCAAAATGCCCAAATGTCAAAATACACATTAAAATTTACAATCAATTTAAAATCAAATTTTAACATTTCATACATATCCACATTTCACAACAACTTAATGTTAGCCTAAAATCATAACAACGCAGCGGAAATAATAGGATCGCTAACCTCCAGCCATATTGTTGATGAACGGTCGAAGAACGTGGAAGAACACCGGAAATCCTTTTCGTCTCCCACTTCACTCCTCACTCTAGATGGTGTATATTGCTTAGAGCCTATTCGGATATGGAGCTAAGCATACATGTGAATGTATGTTGTGATAGGAGGAGTGGGAGGACCATGGAGCACTTATATAGCCACCTACCATCAAGGTGGCTCTTGTAACGGAAACCGTTACAATATCCGCCATCATTGCACCACACTTATGGGACATTATTATTTGATTAATTCAAATATTTCAAAATAATGTTACATTCTCCCACTTGGTGTAATGGATAACCTTAAGAAACAAAAGACATGAACCATAGTGTTACGTCCTCTTAGCTTGAGTAGTACCACTAGTGATCACAATGTATGTTGCCCCTTAAGTTATGGAAAAACTTAATGAATAAACCTTATGTTTATTGCTGGTCCAAAAATAATGGTACATTTTTCTCAACATAATGAAGTGTGCACATCTTAATGAGAAAAATGTCTTAATGCATAAGGATTTCGTAAATAACTGAATGTATTAATACAAATTGGAACAAAGTCCCATATTCGACACATGATCCTTGAATTTGAATGGTGGCATGCCTTTAGTCAAAGGATCAGCAATCATTAACTCTGTGCTAATGTGCTCAATGACCACTATCTTATTTTTGACGCGCTCCCTTATAGACAAATATTTGGTGTCGATATGCTTAATTCGACTCCCACTTTTGTCATTCTTTGATAGGAAGACCGCAGCAGAGTTGTCACAATAAATCTTTAATGGCCTAGATATTGAGTCCATAACTCTAAGCCTAGAAATGAAATTCTTAAGCCATACACCTTGCGATGTAGCCTCAAAACAAGAAATGAGCTCGGCCTCCATAATAGAAGTAGCGACCGAAGTTTGTTTGGCGCTCTTCCAAGAAACAGCTCCACCGGCCATGATAAAAATATATCCCGAAGTCGATTTCCTTGAATCAACACAACCGGCGTAGTCCGAGTCAGAATAACCCACAACTTCCAAGTTGTCAGTTCTTCTATACACAAGCTTGTAATCAATTGTTCCCTTAAGATACCTCATGACCTTCTTAGCAGCTCTCCAGTGGTCCAGACCTGGATTACTCTGGTAGCGGCCCAACATCCCGACAGCAAAGGAAATATCCGGCCTAGTACAAACCTGGATATATCCCAAGCAACCAACTGCCGACGCATATGGGATATTATGCATGGATTTTCTTTCAAAATCATTCTTTGGACATTGGTCCAAACTGAATTTATCTCCTCTCACTATGGGAGCAACACTCGGTGAACAATCCTTCACCCGAAACCTCTCTAAAACTTTGTTGATATAGGTTTCTTTTGATAGACCCAGAACACCAAGAGATCTATCCCTATGAATCTTTATGCCAATGACAAAAGATGTCTCACCCATATCCTTCATATCAAAGTTTTTAAAGAGAAATTGTTTCACTTCATGTAGCATCCCCTTATCATTTGTTGCGAGCAAAATGTCATCCACATATAAAACAAGAAAACAAATGTTACTCCCACTAACCTTCTGGTATATACAATGATCCATGGGACTTTCAACAAAGCCAAATGAAGAAATTATCCCATCGAACTTAAGATACCATTGTCGGGAGGCTTGTTTTAAACCGTAAATGGATTTATTAAGCTTGCAAACTAAATGCTCACCATGACTAGAAGAAAAACCTTCAGGTTGTTTCATGTAAACCTCTTCTTCTAGATCACCATTAAGAAATGCTGTTTTCACGTCCATTTGTTGCAATTCAAGATTGAAATGTGCAACTAAAGCTAAAATCACACGAAGGGAATCTTTCTTAGAAACAGGAGAGAATGTCTCCTTGTAGTCAATTCCTTCGATTTGAGTAAAGCCTTTAGCAACAAGTCTTGCTTTATATCTATCAATGTTGCCTAATGAATCTCTTTTGGTCTTATAGACCCATTTACAGCCAACAGCCTTGGCCCCATTAGGCAACTCTATTAGATCCCAGACTTTGTTACTCTTCATGGAGTCCATTTCTTCCTTCATAGCTTTGTGCCATAAATCGGACTCCGGGCTACTCATGGCTTGTGAAAACGTTTCAGGATCATTTTCGGCTCCAATGTCAGTTTCTTGCAAATACACTTCATAATCGCTAGAAATTGCTGGCTTTCTAACTCGAGTAGATCTTCTTAATGCTAAACCATCATCTCCATGAGGATCTTCCGGTTCAACAACCTCCTCAGGAATTTGATTATCCTGAATAGGTGGATCCACTGGAATATTTCCAGCATATTGTGGAATATTAGATTGATCAGTACCAATTTGATCTTGAGGGGTACTGTGTACAATAATCAACCTCTGTGATGACGTGGAAGGTTGGGATTCCATATGATCATGAACAGGAATTAAATCCCTGAAGCGATCTCTCCCACTAACTACGTCATTCTCAAGAAATTTTGCATTTCTTGATTCCACAATCCTAGTCGTATGAGATGGGCAATAAAACTTGTAACCCTTAGAGGACTGTGCGTATCCAATAAAGAAACCACTAATAGTCCTTGGGTCCAATTTCTTCTCATGTGGGTTATAAATTCTCACTTCAGACGGGCATCCCCAAATACGCATATGTTTCAAACTCGGTTTCCAACCTTTGAATAACTCAAAAGGTGTTTTAGGGACAGCCTTGGTTGGAACTCGGTTCAAAATATACGTTGCCGTCTTTAGTGCTTCAGCCCACAAAAACTTAGGAAGATTGGAGTTGCTAAGCATACTCCGCACCATGTCAATAAGCGTTCGGTTTCTCCTTTCCGCAACACCATTTTGGTCCGGAGACCCAGGCATGGTGTATTGGGCAACAATCCCTTGCTCTTGAAGAAACTTAGCAAACGCACTAGGTGCTTGTCCATTTTCAGTGTATCTACCATAATATTCACCACCTCTATCGGATCTAACTATTTGTATTCGCTTCCCACATTGATTCTCAACTTCAGCCTTAAAAGACTTGAAGGCATCCAATGCTTCATACTTATTTTGAAGCAAATACACATAGGTATACCGAGAGTAATCGTCAATAAAGGTGATAAAATATTTCTGACCCGGCATGTCCATTTCTGGACAACATATATCAGTATGTATGATTTCCAATATACTTGAACTCCTATTGGCACCCTTTTTAAACTTGTTTGTTTGCTTACCCTTAATGCAATCTACACAAGTTTCAAAATCAGAAAAATCAAGAGTACTAAGTACCCCATCATTAACTAATCGCTTAATTCTTTCAATGGAGATGTGACCCAATCTTCGGTGCCATAACATAGAGGAATTCTCGTCAACACTGGGTCTTTTGGAGCCAGTATGCACATGAAATGAATTAAGTGTGGCATCATTTTGCAAATCAATACGGTAAAGACCATCAGACAAAGTACCTTTTCCAACAAAAGTAGATTTATTGAATAAATCAATAACTTTATTCTTGAAATTGAAGGAAAAACCGAATGGTACTAGTCTTGAAATTGAAATCAAGTTTCGTGAAAAACTTGGTACATAAAAAGTCTTTTCCAAAGTTAAAACAAAGCCACTACTTAAAATTAAGGTGCATGTTCCAATGGCTTCCACATGTGAGCCCATCTTGTTTCCGGATAAGATGCTTTGCTCACTTCCCACTGACTTCCTTAGATTCTGCATACCCTGTAAAGAGTTTGCAACGTGGATTATAGAACCAGAATCAATCCACCATGAATTAGTGTTAACATCACACATATTGGATTCATGACAAACAAAGGAGGATAAAATACCTTTATTCTCCAACCACTTCTTGAACTTGGCACAATCTTTCTTCATGTGTCCTTTCTTTTTATAGAAATAACACTTATGTACCTTCTTAATGTCAGCCTTGGGTGGTATTTTACCTTTACCCTTAGCTTTAGAGGTGGTTGTACGAGACTTGTCAAATTTGTTCTTGGCTAAGGTTGTAGCTAGCATGACACTTTCACCCAACTCCATTATGAGCCTTTCTTCTTCTTGCACACACATGGTCATTAGTTCATTAATTGACCACTTATCCTTATGTGTGTTATAAGAGATTTTAAATGGCCCATAGTGGTGAGGAAGGGTATTCAGAATGAAGTGCACCAAGAACGCCTCCGACATTGTTACCTCCAAATTTTGCAATTGAGCCGCTATGTCCCGCATCTTCATGATGTGCTCTCGCACACCCTTAACGGTTGTGAGACGGAGTGAGGAGAATTTCATGATTAAGGTACTTGCTAAGGCCTTTTCCGAAGTGACAAATTGATCATCAATAGCCTTAAGCAAGTCATTGACATTCTTATGCTGATCAACCGAGCCACGAATTCCAGCTGAAATTTTAGTTTTTATAAACATTACGCTGAGCCGATTGGATCTCTCCCATCGCTCATATAGCGCAATTTCAGCCGGAGTACTTTGTGCATTAATGGCGGGCGGTTCATCCTTCCTAATAGCATAATCAATGTCCATGCAACCTAAGTGTAGGAGAACTCTTTCTCTCCAAACCTTATAGTTGTCACCAGTTAGTTCGGGAATTTCAAGGCCTAACGAAAATTCGGAATGAGTAATGGGTTGAGAAGCTGAAAAGGTCCATATATAGCTTGTGTTAGTTTTGAGGTACATATATAACTGAATTGCATGAATTACCAATGTAAATAATGCACCATGATGACTCAACCGCCATAAAAATTGCCTGTGGGCTAAATTCTTATGCATGAGTCTTAAATAATTTTGTACCCATACCGATAAACATATCAAACTATATTCCGAATCATAATTTCCTGTGGGATAAATTATGACCATAGTCCGATATTTTATCCTAATTAATCATACAAAATACAACAAATTTCCTGTGGGATAAATTGTGTCATATTGCGTATAATTAATTACAAATTTTATGCCTAACTTTAGTGTGATTTTCGCCAAAGGCTTCTTAATATATAATTTTAATTAATTAAGGATGCTGTGGCTACTCCAAAATTAATAAAATTATATTATCACAAAGGCAATCCTTTAAAGCTTAAAACAACATTCGTGATGGACAATCCCCAAATATGCTCCCAGGATAGTCGGACGGGGCTAGGATTTATTAAAAAATAATTCTTTAGACAAATTAACAATTCAAGGAAAACTAGTATCAAAATTGAAGCGTAACTAGTTTGTACTTCCCAAGAATTTCCCCGATTAAACCTCTCACGTTAATTGTTGTTTGGGTACTGCCACAAATAATTTATTCATGGGAAAAACTTTAAAGGTAACGGAATGAGAACTTTATTTACTTAATGTGCTTAAATTTTAGGCACTATGTCAATTACAATTATGCATAAGTTCAACTTTAATGGGAATAATATGTGCATTGATTCCCGACGTTATGCATTCAAGGCATTAATTTAAGACGTTACGCATTTGAAGGCATTAATAATACGTTACGCATCAAAGATATTAATTATACGTTATGCACTAAATACTTCAATATTACGCATTAAAGGCATTAATATAGTGCACAGTTTCAATGCAATGCATAAAAATTAAAATCAATGCATCACGTAATAATTAAAATAAATGTGCTGGAAAAAGAATTAAATTGTTCCAAAATCCAAATTAATTTATCCAAATTAAAATAGCACAATTGAATTCATTCAAAGTGGATCCCAAATATAGTAATAAGTCCAAAACTTATTCTATAACTTCATGGAGAAATTCGGAAAACATAAAAAGAGTCATGGCGTTCCTTATGAAGGCGCATCAAAACTCTCATGCACTACCGCCGTAGCACCCTATGGTGCTACATCAACCGGCGGCCACCATATCCGATGGCATCTCCTCCACACATACAAATACCAATCATAGATACAAAATACTACATGTTCAATTTCATATATACATGTAGAAACGCCATATGTATGTATGTAAAATATATAAAAAATTATTAATTAGCCATCCGTTTTAATATTTTCCGAATTATAAACGGATAGAAGAATCACAAAACATTGCGAAGCACATGTATATACACACGGTTCATATACATGTATATATATATTTCATAAATTTAAAACACTTAAATTCAAGAATTAAATGTCACCATAACCATTCCATCAAACATAATGATAGGAATTTAAAAGGTTAACATATGAACTTGAGAAAATCATATGCATATATCTCTCAAAATTAAATATATATATATACATATAACAATTCAAATTCATAAACTCATATGATTTCCGAACAATTATTATATAATTTTCGGACAACATATATGTATGATTATAGGACATACGATTATATATAAAATCATACATAAAATTATATGACACAAATATACATACATATGTCATACGAACACACACAAAAATCCATGCTTCCATATGAACACATACGAATATACATGAGCACACACATATGGTTCAATTCATGCATATGACATGGAAATCATGTTAAACATATACACATATATATATTTATATATAATATATACCAACAAAACATATATGTGTGTGATGTGATGAACACATATATGAACATGTATATACCGAATGTTCATATAAAATTCATGATGTTCATACAACAAATAGACAGAGATTAAACAGGCTCTGATACCAAATGTTAGCCTAAAATCATAACAACGCAGCGGAAATAATAGGATCGCTAACCTCCAGCCATATTGTTGATGAACGGTCGAAGAACGTGGAAGAACACCGGAAATCCTTTTCGTCTCCCACTTCACTCCTCACTCTAGATGGTGTATATTGCTTAGAGCCTATTCGGATATGGAGCTAAGCATACATGTGAATGTATGTTGTGATAGGAGGAGTGGGAGGACCATGGAGCACTTATATAGCCACCTACCATCAAGGTGGCTCTTGTAACGGAAACCGTTACAATATCCGCCATCATTGCACCACACTTATGGGACATTATTATTTGATTAATTCAAATATTTCAAAATAATGTTACACTTAATTCACAATCAATTCATAATCCAAAAAATCGAAAATTTTAAGATTCAAAACCGTAAGTTAAAAATGAGATGAAATGAAGTTTGATTTACCTACAAGAAAGAAGAAGAAAGAGTGTTGCAGAAGAAGATGAAGGTTTGCCGGAGTGTGGAGGCCGGAGATGGAGCTTCGCCGGAGTTGGAAATGAGCTCCGTGGTCTTCGTCGGTCGTGTTCGTCGTTCGCTGGGCGTTGGGGGGATTTGGGGATAGTTTACGCAATGTTCTGTTTTTGGCGCGAGACCCGATTTTTACTTAAGGGTAAGTCGCCCAACCGTTGGGCGACTTATAAGTCGCCAAACGGTTTGACGACTTATAAGTCGCCCAACGGTTGGGCGACTTACCCCCACCATGGTTAATCCAGCAGTATTTTGGTAAATACTTTTAACCAGACCCTATTTTCGTAATTAATTAATTAATTAACATTAATACGGAAAAAATCTCCCAAAATTAACTTCTCACTTTCCTTTTCGGGCAATCCCAAAATTAACTTCATACTTCAAAACTTTTCTTATTTGACAAATAATCTACATAAAAAAGCGCCAAATAGTGTCCAAACAGTGTGTAAACAGTGCAAAACAGTGCACTCCATAATAAAGTCAAATTTATTTTCTTAATCTGTGTGAAGTCAAACTGTGAACTTAATTACAGGACGGAGGGAGTATAAAGATAAAAATGTGAATAAAAACTACTATATGTAAGTTTTAAAGTCATTATGATGTAACATTTGAATACTTTCTAATTTTAGTTTTCCATACAAAGAAAAAGTTCTACGGGGTATTTGCGAAAATTTTCCCTTTTTCCGGGTGTCGTTGTAGTACGTTCGATTGTAGAATTAGGCCAAGGCAACTAACTGCCCAGTCTGCCCTGTGCCAACTCCCCTAATAGCCTGTCCCTGTGTACGGTTCATAAGTCCCTAAATTACCGACTTTCTAGCTATCACTGCCTTTTTTTAGCTCGGGAGATCGACAGTGAGATCTCGAATCAAACTCGCTATTTGGTGCAGAAACGCAGAAATGGTGATGTTCAAAGTCACTCACGTTGAGACCAAGCCGTTTGAAGGGCAGAAGCCTGGAACCTCTGGTCTCAGGAAGAAGGTTTGAGGGCTTGATCACTGGCTGTTGTTACTATTCTGATTGTTAATTTTCAATTTTCTTGTTTTAATTGTTTCTCCTATTATTAATTTTAAATGAGTTAATCAGGTTCTGAATCAATAGGTATACGTCCAACCTCTTGAAATGATCACCTTTCTCGGAGGGATTCGATCATTTCTACTTCAGTGGTTTCATTTTGAGAGAAGTCGTGTCCTGCCATTGAAATGCATTTTCTCCCGATTGAGGATTTATTTTTGGTGATTATTCATTTGGATCCTATGAATCTATGATCACTTGAAGTAGATCTATTGAGAAGAATATGATCTGGCATTGAGATCTTGTACTTTGGGTTAGAAAACTCGTCAACAGAGTTAGTATACCTGCTGCATTTTATTTAGCATTAAACCTTTTTCCAAGTTATCTCCAGAGAAATAAACCAGCTGATGTCTATTAGGAATTAAATCAAGGTGTGCCTGAAAAGTCAGTTAAGTACACGCACACACTTTTTTCCAGAGTTCGATCCTCCCAAGTGACTTGCCAAATGACCTTCATGGTTATAATTAGGATCAGAATCATCAAATGGAGCTATTTGTTTCTATAGTATTTTACAAATGTTTCCATAACATGCTATTATATGAAATGAAAATTATATACTATCGTTATATCTTTTGCTTATTTAATACTTGGATAGTTGGATTTAATATAACATTATGAGACTGTTTCAGGTGAAGGTATTTAAGCAACCCAAGTATTTACCAAATTTCGTTCAAGCAACATTCAATGCCCTAGGAGCGGATAAAATTCGAGGTAAAAATTATTGTGATGACTTTTCTATCATGTTTTTGGAAGTGCTAGTATTGCCAAAAGGATTAGGGCCTTGTTAATTGGGATTCATTTCAATTTAATATCTGGGTTAAAATATTTTATGTTGTTTACTGTTATTTGCAGTTCTACAATGCTATGGTTATTTCAGAATGTATGATATTGATGGTTGATACTTAGTCATTAGTGCATTCATTCATACTCAAGGTGCTGTTTTAAAATGTTTTTTTATGACATACGCAATTCATTAAATGCCACTGTATTGCACCTTTTAGCTCTAAAAAACATGTGCTTATGTATTTTTCACATATTTTTTTCAGAGAAATCAGAACTAGTGCTGGTTGGAAGTTTTGTTCCCTAACCATAAATAAATATACTCTTGTCCCCAAAACAAGTTCATGCTTTCCTTATTTGGGTGTATCTAAATGAAGTTCCTATTTCTATAAAAAGAATACTTTTATTCGGAAAATGTCAGTATTACCCTTACTTTTTGCTCGATTCGGCTCAAAGTAAGGATATACTTGGAAAGCCTAAGCAAAACCTTGAATTGAATAAATATATGTAGGTCAAACTGAGTACTTGTTTCTGGGATGGAGTTAGCATTTAATTGAGGAGTGGTTGGATTTATATCCACATTATCATTTGCGAAGTTTAGCCAATCAAAATAGAGCCTGAACACAGTTCATCCCCCAGCCTGAGCTGGAAGACAATAACATAATGCCGTACACATAGGTCATTTTTTTACTTATATATATGTACGATATTTTCATGCATTTGAACTGAGGTGATGAATCAGGGTTCGCCACATTGTTTTCTTCTTGGCTGCTCCATCAGCTGGTGTAATTAAATTGGCATGCTTAGCATAAACTCTAAGCGTTATGCTTAATGCATGATAATACATACTGTATTAAAGATTGTAGTGCTTTTATTGCATATGAAATTGGTTGCATTAGGATGCTAATTGTTTTATTGATGGAACATGAGAGATGCTTGGAGTTTATTTATTTTTACTTCGGTGATCTCTAGAAGTCATGTCTGAAACTCATATGCTGGGTCAGCTACTCAGCTGGAATATTTTTAGGGAAAAGAACCAAAAGGTACATGTGGTTAGGCGTGTTTTTCAGATACGGGGTTGTCTTTCATTTCTTATCAAAGTAGTCCCAATGTTTTGATTCCGTTTTCACTGGAGGGGTCCGGTGCCTAAAAGCCATTAGAAATCGTTAGAGGAAGGCGATGAACAATAACTCCGATTTCCAAAAATGCTCGAAAAATTAAAAAAATAATATTGGGAGGTGCGCCTTGTCAAGGGCTCAAGGCGATATCGAAACCATCGTCCTTTTTGGAATTTTCGGCTCTTTTTGGATTATTTAAAAAATGATTCTTCAATATCACTTTTACGGTGGACTTTCCAACGACAAGGGTGGCGGTAAATGAAAAAGGAAATCATCAGAGTTATTTTTCCTTTAATTTTCCGAGTACTTCTGAAAATCGTAGTTACTATTCACCGTATTCACCGTATTCCTGTGGTGATTTGTAATGGCGTTAGGCGCCAGACCCCTGCAGTCATAACAGAATTTTAAAACATTGACTACTTTAAAATTAAATGAAACACGCAGGCCCCTATTTAAAAATGTGTCCAACCACAAGTACCTTTTGTGTACTTTTCCCAAACGAATTCCTTGCCTTTTCTGCATTAACAAGCTTCTTCATTTTTTACGTGTAGCGGAATATATACTTCATTACTTCCCTTCTATCATTTTTAATTGATCCGGCAGTGTGCATCTTGTAATTGCATTGCTTACTTTGCAGGCGCTACACTTGTTGTTTCTGGTGATGGTCGGTACTATTCGAAGGATGCAATTCAGGTGCAATTTCATGAAATTTGTTTTGACAATTTAAGGTTGTCTAAAGTAGAAAGTATTATGTCACAGAGGGGTTTTTAGGTCACCCTATCCCTAAAACAGTCGCTACATGCTACATTATACTAACTTTTCCAATTTCATGGGTAAAGCTGGCTAAGTTGTGATGTTTGTGTGATTTAAGCCTATATTATACTACCTCCATCCAACTAAGGTTGGGACAAGAGAGCGTGGGACCTCTAATTTCATGCTCATCATACGATCATTCTTCTGAAAGACTGTCCAAGTTTGGAACCTCTATAAGTTCGATTAGAGAGAGAATGTTGAGTTTAAATATTTTTTGTGCATGTTTATCCTTCGGTTTGATCTTTATCGTATCTTTTTTTTTAATACTTCCTCCGTCCCAAAAAGGTTTGCCAAATTTCCTTTTTTGGATGTCCCAAAAAGATTTGCCATTTCCATTTAAAGTAAGGAATATGTGGCTAAAGTTAATTCTCTCTCCTCTGTACAAATTTCAACCACACAGTTTTTACTTAATTAATCCACGTGAAAGTCAAAGTTGGCGAACCTTTTCAGGACGGAGGGAGTATCTTTTTGTCTTATCTTATCTTTTTATCTTTCTTATCTCTCTTTTCCTTTTGGATCTGGTATCATGTATCGATTCATTTTAGCCGACCCCAAAATCTTTTATGACTAAGGCTTGAATGTTGTTGTATTGTATGCTTATCCCTTGGTACTGTCCTAATGTGCGTGCACTTGTGATATATACATTACATACAATATGATATTGGTTCTCTATATTTTCTTACTTATCTACATATTGTTTCTGCCAACCGCTAGACCTATTTCCCCAAAACTCAATAAATACTAGGCATCCTATGGTGCTTCACATGGACTGGTAGACTGGTTTCTTAAACTCTGTTATGTCTGTTCTTACCACAGATCATTATTAAAATGTCAGCTGCAAATGGAGTCAGACGCATCTGGGTTGGTCTAAATGGATTAATGTCTACTCCTGCTGTATCTGGTGTCATCCGTGAAAGAGTTGCAGCTGATGTATGCTTTGTTTTTGTTCTATCATTGACCTGGAAGTGTGTTTCCTTCTCTTGTTGTGTGAAACTACGCCCTTACTGTTCTAATATCTGTTTCTTTACTCCTGAATGCAGGGATCAAAGGCAAATGGGGCATTTATATTGACAGCTAGTCACAATCCTGGTGGCCCTAATGAGGTTGGTTCCTGTAATTTTAATTCCTTTGTACAATTTTCTCCGTTAGGGAGGATTCTTAAAAGTTGTTGAAATACACATGGTCGTATCATATGCTTCTTACTA